GAACACAATGAATGCTAGTAAAGTTCGGTGCTACTGCTTTGGTCTGTGCTAAACTGTAAGCAACTTTACCCACCATTGCTTTTGCCTCATCAGTGCAAATGTCAACACTGTGAAAAAGGCAAATAATATCTTAGTATTACTATGAAAATACTTTTGACTTTCTGGACCCTCCCTCTGAAAGAACTGCAGGATCTCCCCTCCCTGCCAGAGGTCCATACTTTGGACCACACCTCAAGAATCATGGCCAGAGAGGTTGCACCGATAACTGAAACTATCAAATTGTTTGATTTTTGCCAATCTGGTAAGTGAAAATGATATCTCATTGTGTTTTTAATTTTTAGCTTTCTTATAAATGATGTTGTTGGTATTTTATCTGCCACTTCATAGGAGCCCTTCCCACATTAAGAAAATTATTCTTTTTTCTGTGATTTATTAATATTTTCTTTTATGGCTTGTAAGTTTTGCTTATAGTTGTAAAGGCATTTCCACTCCACAGTTACAACTCCTTGTTGCCCCACCCCAACCTATTTTCTTTTAGTACTTTTGGACATTATTTTTACTTTTAAATCTTAGACTTACCTGACATTTATTTTGGTATAAAATGTGAGTTATGATCCTACTGTACTTTTTACAGATAGATATCCAATTGTCCCACACCAATTATAGAATCATGTATAGTTTTCAGAAGACAAACCCTCAATCTCTTTTATATTATTGATCTTTATCTATAAAATGATCAAAAGGAACATAAATTGTCTACCACATGGAGTCCCTGTGAAGACTAAATGTGGAAGAAAGACTTTGAGAAAATTTGTAAAACAGTAAATAAACATGGAGTACATTATCACTGTATATCTCCTCTACCACTGTGGTATATGGAGTACTTAGTACATTGGTATACCATGCTTAATAGGTAGGCAATAAAGTAAAAAAATGCATAACTCCTTAATGACAGAAATGCTTTTTCTTCAGGGTTCTCACTTCCAAGGATCCACTGCAATGCTTCCCGTTGAAACACTGAAATACTTGGTCATGAAAAATGAAAGTAACAGTTTAGGATTTGATGAATAAAACTCTGTGTTCGATAACAAAAAATGAATTACAATGTAGAATATGGCACAACAGCTTAAATGGGGATTATGTCAAGATGTCTCCTACCACCTGGAAAATTTACTCATGATTGACAATAGCAAACACAAGATATAAATACTACAAATCATATGACTAATTAATGGTAGAAGGTTTTAAATAGAATTCAAGGCTTTCTTTAACTTTTAATATGTGGGACCCAAGGCTGAAAGATTTCTATACAAGGTTTCTAAAACTGCATTTCTTACTAAAATAGACCCAGAATATAGGTAAAAATAACAGCTTTCCCACATATTTGTCAAGAGATATATGAAATATATGACAGATAATGTATTCACATATAAAACTCCATTTCCTGTAGCTAGAAATATGCATACTAAAATTTAAAAAAATTTACCTGAAATCCATTTCCTTTTTATTTCTACTAAGATATATGAAGAATATCACATCATATTTTTCAGAAGAGCACATCATTAACATAAGAAAAATTACTGGCACAGAAATACACTAAATATGATACAAAAATTATAATAACCAGATTCAACTTTTTTTAGAAAATAACATTGTATTTAGAATTTTAAAATAATTGATGAATACTAGAAAAAAATATATGGCATGCATGAAAATATGTAGATTCATTTTTTAGAATGGTCATGAACCAAACTATGATAATGAGAAACAAGTGCTATATCAGTGAAAAAACAAAAAAGAAAAAAAGTAAAGAAAAAAGGATTGTATCATCTACATTATGTAAAAAAGTAAAGCTAATTTCTTCAAACTATTCATTTTTATTTATTTATTTATTTATTTTTTTTGTCTTTTTTCGTGTCCGGCAACGGATCGCAACCCTCAGTGTCGCGCCCGTACCGGACCGGGACCGGCAACGGGATCGCAACCCTTGGTGTCGCACCCGCACCTCGCTCAGCCAGTGAGCGGGAACCGGTCTGTATGTGGGATCCGAACCCTCAGCGGGAGCGCTGCCACGAGTGCGCCACCGGGCCGGCCCAAACTATTCATTTTAAAATGACATAAATAACAGAATTATGAATATGCATATAAGTTTACTTATTCTGCTTCAGATATTAAATAGCATACAGGTTGATCTTTAAGTTATGTTCCTATAAATATAGCAGTAATGTACCCATTTGACTGAAGACAAGTCTACAAAGTGCCAGGGCTTTAATGAAACTTTAGTGATAAGAAACACATATTGTTAAAGAATATGAACATGATTAGAAAAGAAAAACTGTACTTGTTAAGATTTATATGATTAAATCTAAAACTCTATGGCTGTTATTTTATATTATCAAATGTACTGTGAAATTGTAATTCTTTTAGCTTTCCTTTTTTTTTTTTTTTTTTTTTTTTTTTTTTTTTTTTT